GTTTTACCAACGAATAGTGGGATTGACCATCACATTATACCGCCCCCACGGATGAAACGGCGAGCATGTTTGATGTAAGAGGATTCGAACCCCCGATCCTCAGATTGCGAGTCGAGCGCCATCTGGCTATGCCAGGCCACCATCTTTGTTCATCTAAGCAACTGCCTGTTCTTGAACCCATAGTGTTATGTTCGGTTTGACCATAAATATTTCCATTAAAACAAAATGAGATTTGGTAAATTCAAATGTAAGAAGCTTGAGGAAAAATATTCAGTTAACACGTTGCTACATCCAGCACATAACTGAATAATAAGATGTTCATATTAATTAGGAATTAAGTCAAAACATAACTGAAAACCATAAACAGGTTCATGTTAATTAAGGACTAAGTCAAAACCTAAATGGATAACTTTGTTTAAAATGATGTTTAAAAAAATTCACATGCTGGAATTTTCATCGAATGTGTTTATCTATCGCTTTCTTTGGGAATGGACACATTTAACACTTCACATTGGGTATGGACACATTTAACACTTCACATTGGGTATGGACACATTTAACACTTCACATTGGGTATGGACACATTTAACACTTCACATTTGTATACATTTATCCGCTTTGTAAGTAAGAATTAATACGATTTATGGTTAATTTTAAAGACATCAACTTTCATTTTAAAAAGTGAAAAATGGAAAGTTGTCCCATAACTCTAGAAGACGAAATAAACTATTCTTCTTATCTCTTTCAACACCGTTGATCTCACTCTAATATATCAAACATTAGGCCTTCTACTCCTACAACGATTAACTTTGTGTTTATTGTAATCTCTACACTATTTTCGTTACTGTTACAGTTGTGCATATATAGGTCTACTTATTTCCGCATCAATTAAAGTCTTTTAATTATACTTGTATAGTAAATAAATACATGGTTGTGTTGTTGTTGTTAGGTTTAGGATTATTCTACAGTAGGTGCCTGTGACTTGTTGGCGATAAATTCAAAAATAAATAAACAGCACAAACTCCACTTGTTTTCTATCTGGTTAAACGTATGTACAACCAATTCTTTACACTATAGAGATTATAGGCATATCATAAACACTATTTATATATAGTTCTTTTCTTCTTGTCAAAAGTTCACTTAGGCCTATCCAATTGCTTCAGAATTTCAGTTGACAAGCCGAACTATTTTCTCTATTACTATCGCCAAACTATCCGAGTATAGGTCACTTACTTCATTGTCGAGTTACCACGACTGTATCCTATACTTCTAAAATCGTCTGCCCCTTTTTCTCTTTTTTTGCATATCCCAGAATCGTCTGTCTGTTTGTCCACTGAGGCTAGTTCAATTACTTTAGAACTATCTTTGACGAAATAAACTATTCTTATCTCTTTCAACATCGTTAGTCTCACTCTAATATATCAACTGTTAGGCCTTTCACTCCTACGACCACGGTTAAGTTTGCGTTTAACTTTTCTTTAGCCGAACTCCTTTTCGTAACTTTACTTTACTTCTCCTCTGTTCTGTCGTTGTCTGTCTGCTGTTTTCCGCT